AAGGGCACTATACATATGAGCATATCAAATAGAAAAGGGAGATTTACCTAACTTGAAGCCACTCCAAATCCTACACTTCCTTGAGAAGATATAATTGGAAGGATCTTTATTCTCGATTCAAGCTAAGTGATACGCCCTCTGGAGGAAATTTGTAGAAGGTCCCTATAAGTAGGATATCGTTCATTGTTGCCAGAAGTAGCAAAATTTCGCTACGTCGTCGGATTTTAGCTCTTGAAGAAGTGGATAAGACCTTTTATTTAAGAATCAAAATTTGTGTATAGTAATATGTAATCATACTCTATATTTATTTAAAGACTTTTTTATAAAACCGATTTATTATATTAATTTTTTTTTTAATTTGAGTTCATTTCTTAATTTTGTTTTAAAATCAGTTCATCATTTGGCAACGAGTTCATTGTTTACATTTTAATTTGTATCAATTACAATTCGAGTTTTTCTTACTTTTTAGCTTTAAATTTGTTTATTTCTTATAGTATGTGATAGTGTTTATGTTAAAAATGAAATCTGCGAAAAAGTCCCCAGCAAATTGCAATCTATATGGTGTTAATGTCAAAATCAAAACTGAAGTATTCATTATTTTCCAAGTACAAGTCGTAAAATTTAGTTTTTTACCATGAATGGATATCTACAAATTCACAATATTGAAATTTTGCAAAACTTTGTTTAGAATCGATATATGATATTTTATCCATTTTCATAGATTCGCCAGAATTTTTTTACTTAACTTCAGTAGGTATACCTCTAGAACTATTATATATTATATGACTAGGGCTAGGGCTTTAGCCCCCCCAGATCTGATGACATAACTTCGCCCATGCCGTGTAGCATAAAAAACAGATTTATGTGGCCCAAAAGAAAAAAAGGTTGAATAAAGCTAGTATACAGGGTGTTAAAAAAAAAAGTGTCACAAAATAAAACGGGGGGTAGTATGGGCCAAAATATACAGAAAAGTCTTAATAAACATATGTCCGCAAATGAATGGTTTCAGAGATACGGAGTGTTTTGTATCATTTTTTGATTATCTTTTTTCATTCTCAAAAACTTGCTTTTCTTATCGGAGTCTACCGATGTCTTTTCATAGATACTATTTGCAGTTATTATTTTGTTGTGGGTGAATAATTTTATAAATTTTCGTATGCCTGTTTACACTAATATTGAATTAGCTGACATGCATTTTATGTACGGTCGTGCAAATGGCAATGCAAGGGAAGCGCTACGTCAGTATTTGAACATCTCATTTAACTCTATGTTGTTATTGATTGTTTATAAATATCATTGTTTTTTTATAATAATAAAAAATTGTTATAAACACAAAATGGTCCGTATCTCCGAAACCGTTAATTTGCGGTCATATATTTATTAAGACTTTTCTGCTTATTTTGGGTCATACTATTCACCATTTCATTTTGTGACACTTTTTTTTAACACCCTGTATACCCATGTCCCATTAGTGCGTAATTGTTCAATATTTTAATTTGTGTTAAAGACATGCAAACATGTTTCAAAGAAAAGTTATATGGATTTGGAAAATACATATTTTAAAAATATTTTTGGATATACAGGGTGTTACATTTTTGCCTGGCATATTTTTTAAATAGAATAACATGTATTTTATTTCAGTTTTAGAATGGTTTGGTAATACTGTATTCAAGCCTAGAATGTTTTAAAAAAAAATTACAGGTTTACCAAGCAATTAATTTTTTATGAAATTAGAGAATGATACAGACATAACGAATAGTGGTGATAGTGCTGGATTCTTTTATACCGAGTGTTTAGAAATATATCTTATATATGGCTACTTTTAAGTTCAATTTACTTAATTTTTTCAATGGCAACACCCGGTATAATATTTTAGCTCACAATTCTTTATAAATTTGCCTATCCAACAATACCAACATGTTAGAGAATAACATATACAGAGTGTCCCATCAGTGCGTAATTGATCGATAGCTGTTTTATTATTGAAAATAAGAAAAATAAATAATATAGAAATGGTATGACCATATTTAATAATGATTCTTAAATATACAGAATAGTCCATAAACGATGTAATGACCAAACTTATACATTTTTAAAGCAAAACACCCTGCAGATAGTTATGCATATTTGATTGTTTTCAGGTTGTCAAATAATTTTAATTAACTTCATTCATTTGCTGTGTTATATATAGGGTGTGTCAAAACGCGAGGTTACGATTATTTAAATTTTTTTTCAATGGAATTCACTGTATTAATTAATTGGTGGTATAACATACAGGGTATCACATTTAAAAAAATGAGAAAATCGTAACCTCGCATTTTGACACATACTATATACAACATAGCAAATTAATGAAATTGAAATTATTGTTCGACGATATAAAAATCAAATATGTATGTATATATCTAAGCATGATTTGTTTAGTTGTCTTATTTTTAATCAGAGAATCGTCAGTTGTTCTATATCCCATTCTTAACGAAACACCATGTATAGTATAATAGGTCCCTACGTAATGATACGAAGACCTTTGTTGACTGGACACAAGAATGAACTACTTAAGTAAATATACCGATGTCCCGAATCTAATCCAGAACTTTTATTTAGGTACTTGCTACATCGAAAATATTTACAAGGTCAAGAACTCGTTTACTTATCATCGCGTAGTGGCTAGAAAGTGGCTAGGGGTGATTAATTTGTTATTTTATAACAGTTACCGTTTAGAATTAATAAAATTATTACGCCATCTGTTTAACAAAAGAACTATTAAATATGGAATATTGCTCCATCTGTTGAACAAAAGGATTCTTAATTTATGACACATAAATGACAGCTATTAAAATTAGTTCATGTTACGAATATTGGGGGAGGTACTGTGGCCTTAATATTTTTTACTAGTTTTATTTTTTCTATACATGTCAAAATTTTTGGCGACTCTTAAGTTAAAACTGTGAAGAATAATCTTAACTCCCTCTTTCACAAACAATTAAATGAAGAAACTGATAAAATTATTAATAATAAAATATAAACATAAGGGGTCTTGTAATTCTTTAATTACATAAAAAATATTCTTCATATACATTTGGTGACTTAAATACAACGACAAACAACTACTGAACCAATTTCGTTTACAAAAACCGAATTGCAAGCATTCACGGTATTATCTACATGGTTGCCAAATTATTATGATATTATGAGAGAGTCTTGTTACAGGAATTGTTTATGGTTATAATTCGGAATTTACTTAACATAAGGCTCTAAAACTCACAAAAGGCTTTACAAATTACATTAAGGAATTAAATTTGCTTTCTTAATGCCATTTATTATTTGTTCAATGTCCTTTTGTGGATGCAATCTTTATTGTAGCTGAAGGTGATTTACAGGAAAGTACGTCATTTATTTTACAGTGTGGCAACGGTGTAAAGCAGAAATAGTAGTTTTACGAGCTGGTTTATTCATAAATAAACTGGAGACTTGCAATGGCTGGCGAGTTATTTATTTAAAAGATTCCAAACTGTTAAATTGAATAATTACAGATCTAAAAACATTACCAATCCATCTAGAGTCCCCAAGGGTCCCATTTGGGACCTATGTTATTTTTATTATTTATAAATGATATCTCAGAATGTTTCAAGTTTGCCAAATTTTTATGCTTTGTAGATGACCTAAAGTGCTACCTAGCAGTTTCATCTCTTGAAGATTGTCTCAAACTTCAGTCTGATCTGGCTAGGCTTGATGAGTGGTGTGCGAATAATGCTATGGACCTAAACATCACTGTCGCTCGATATCCTTTACTAGGAAGATCAACAGGATTGATTATCAAGGGTACACCAGTGTCCCAAGTTGCATCCATTCTAGATCTGGGTGTTATTATGGACTACGCTCTCTCATTTGTCAATCACATCGACACAATAGTACCCAGAGCACTTGGTATGCGTGGGTTTATAAAGAGAAACACATCAGATTTTACAAGTATTAATGCTATCAGGTTATTGTACTGTAGTCTTGTTAGGCCTCTGCTAGAATATTGTTCTTCAGTCTGGAACCCCCAGTATACTTGTCTTATTCATAGATTAGAACAGGTTCAGAGAAAATTTCTTTGCTACTTAGCATTTAAATCAAATATTCCACGGATAGATGACTATTCCTATGATTTTGCGGCACTGCAAGAGACGTTATCCTTACCAACTTTGAGAATAAGAAGAGATCAGGTAGATCTGAAATTATTTTTTAAGCTCATTAATTGACTTCCCTACATTAATTTCAAGCATGTTGTTGGCAGCCCCAACTAGAAGCACACGATCAATCATCAGCCCTACATGAGAACGAATACTGGCCTCAATTCATTCATGCCTAGAGTTTCACGAAGCACTAATGCTTGTGCTGATAGTCTAGAATTTTTTAAATCAAGCTTTTCTAATTTTATGAGGGTGTTACGACTTACTGTGACTTAAATTCCCTAGTCTTAATATTAGTTGTTTCGATTTTGTACATGTTAATATATTTATGATTTTTGTTGTTTATTAGTTTATCATTATTATGACATATTATTTTGACTCTATTTGAGGTTTTTTTTTGTTTTTATTTGTAATTTTGTACTGAAAATGGGCAAGGCCCGTAAATAAATAAATAAAAACGTGTGCTAGCACCTCAAATAAACAACCTCACACAAACTACCTCCCACTCAATTTATTAGGCGTCTTTCTCTTTCTAATGCAACAGCTAATCCGACAGCTCTGTCTGCGTAACATACAACACACACAATCTAAATATACTGCCCAACAATTGAAGTGGATATTTTGAGAAATTCTAAACATTTGGATTTCCTAATTTATTTGCAACTCATAAGCCATTTGTAATGTTTGAGGATGCGGTTGAAATCGGTTCTTGCAATATTTAAGGGCTTAATTATGAATGAACGGATTAGTCTTGGTAGTTTTTCGTCGTTGCTAAATATGTTTTTCTCTATTTAATTAAATATTTTAAGGTATTTTTTTTTTCAGATTTAGTCCATTGCACAAATGAACCAAATGTGTCAATTCCACAATTAGCAAATTTGTTAATAGAACGATCACAGAATACAAATTGGGTTGTAGTGTATAAGGCACTAGTCACAGTACATCACGTGATGTGTTACGGAAATGAGGTAAATAAAATTATATAATAAGTTGTATTGAAACTGTCACGTTTATTATGCATTAAACTATTGGTAACGGCAAAAAACTGCATATTTCAAATGTTTCTCTATCTTTAATATGCATATATACTTTCTCTGGATTTTTTCAAATTTTCGTAAATAAGGTAATAAATTATATTAGATTATTGATATAAATTTAAATTTCTTGAATAATTTTATCTGCTACTTATTTAATACACAAAAAATGTTGAAATTTACAAATTCAAGCGATATTTTTTTTAGCTTCTTTTGAAATAACTTGGAAAAACTTGTAGTAATTTTGAATTTATTTTCAGAGATTTACACAATATTTAGCATCTAGTAATAGTACATTTCAACTTAGCAATTTTCTGGATAAAGGTGGAGTTCAAGGTAATATATTATTTTTTTATTTAGCAAATAATGTCATGAGAAATTGTGTGATTCGCAGATATATCTGAATCTGTCAAAAATAATGGTTGAATTACATTACAAACACTGAATATTATAACATCCAGTTTCAGACAACATTCAATAATTTGTATCGATAGTTTATTCCTAAAAATCTATCCGAGGTTAATTATACAAAGAAAACACGTATACTCATAACCAAATCATTAAATTATAGGATAAACCTTTAACAAAAAAAAATAATTAGTTGAAACTGCAAATAATCTCTAAAGATGCCGATATCAGGAAATAAAGCATCTATCACCACGGTGTGAAGACTGTAAAGCTATATGAAGGCTACAGGCAATATGTCAAAAAAATTAGTTTTAAGAAAAACGCTTTTAAAGATTTTAGATGCTCTAAAAAGTGATTTATAGAAGTAAAATAGTATATACAGGGTAGACCAATCTTGTGGAAAAGTTCGATATCTTGTTGAAAGAGATATTAAAAAAGTGTATTAAGAAAATTATGGACAGGTTTGAGGTTAATATTTTAAAATTATTGGGAGGTATACAGGTTGTTGCATAGCTCGTGTACGAACCAAACATATGTTTTTTTTTTTAATGATAACCCCTGTATATTATTTTAGATTCTGTTTACTCATATTTTTTCCATTCTTCTAATATATGGTTTGTCTATGTTATATAGGGTACTTTTCAAGGAATTGACATTTTTGTGAGAGAATCGTACATAATTCAACGTCCAGCAGCCAATTACACACTGTAGAAAAAAAAATTTTTTACCCATATGAATTTTATAATATGATGTATTATACTTTTTTTTAGTTATATTTTTATTATATGTTTATTCGTATACAGGGAGACTCAATACTCAGACCCTTGATTTTCTTGTTTTATTTAAATGGGACACCCTATATTTTATATCACCAGTAAAATCATCTGTTCCAAGTCTTTCATTTTTATTAAGCATTCCCTATATCTAAAGTTAATAATTATTGATTTTTTTAACATTAAATGAAAATTATGGTTATTTCGATAAATTAAACTAGTTTTTCATAAAAAAAAACTCTTTATCAACAGTCATAAATAATATGTGTGAATACAAAAAAAAAACTCAAAAACAAAACATAATTATAAAAGTTGTTCAAAGTGACCTCCCGTAACATCAATACAGTTTTGTTATCGAATTTCGAATGACTGACTCAAATTTCTCAGCATTTGAGCATCAATACTTTGAAATACATTTCTGATTCGAGTTTTCATGCCCTCTTTTGTCGTTGCAGGCACATTATATACTTTGTTTTTTACATAACCCCACAGAAAAAAATCAATTTTTGTCAAATCCGGTGATCGCGCTGGCCACCCTATCGGTCCTCCTCTTCTGATCCACCGTCTTGGAAAGTGATTATTTAAATAATTATGAATTACTACAGTGTGATGGACTGGTGCACCATCGTGCAAAAACCACATTTGTTGGCGAATGTGAAGGGGAACATCTTCGAGTAACGTAGGCAAATGATTTTCAAGGAAATCCAAATATACTGCACTATTTACTTGTCCTTCAAAAAAGTGTGGCCCTATCACATAATCACCCACAATGCCACCCTAAACATTTAATGACCACGTCATTTGGCTATGAGTGACTATAATGTGTGGGTTTGTTGTAGAATAATAGTGAAAATTATGTCTATTTAAACCTCCATTTTTATGAAAAGTTGATTCATCACCAAAGAGCACAAAATCAAAAAAATTTCTTTGTTGAATAATTTTTTGTTGGGGCCATTTACAAAATATCACTCTATTTTCAAAATCCCGTTCAAGAAGTTCTTGATGTAACTGGATATGGAAAGGATGCATTTTATGTTTTGATAGGATTCTTTGAACAGTTCCGTAACTGACTTGTTGTCTTGAAATATTTCGTTTACTAATATGCGGATCATCATAAATACTCAACAATACTTGCATTTCATTCCCTTCCGTGATAGCAGTTTTTGTTACTTGTTTTTGCTCGTATGATACAGTACCAGTACGATTAAAACGGTCCATTAGTTTTTCAAACGCCTTTTTATTTGGTTTCCGGCGTTCCGGATATCGTTGGTGGTACACTCTGGAGGCAAGTAAAGAAATCTTGTTGCACTCACCTAGTATATACATCATATCCATCATTTCTGGTATAGAAAAATTCGTATTGTTCATCTTATTATTAGTAATTGACTTAAAACCACATACTTTGATTTTCTTTTACTATACGGAGAATGGTCGCACTGCGCAGCTTTCTGAGTGCCTTTTAAAAGGAGATAGAAAATTCCGCCATTTTGATCCCTTATTACGTGTTGCCTACATCTTGGCGCAATATTTTTAATAGGTGCGTTTTAATCATCCGCTTCTGCTTCGGAATTGTCGGTTTTCTTGTTTTAATCTGACAGGTTAAAACGACTAAACCGACAATTTCGGAAGCAGAAGCGGATGATTAAAACGCACCTGATATTTTGCTTGCTGCTGTCAGTGTCAGTGAATATTATTTTTGGACTCACAGTTTATGCTAAAGAGTCAGTTAGCTCTCGGACCAGTTGAAAGTTCCAAAATAACATCCACGCCAGGGATACAAATTCAGGATACGCAGAAGACTGCTGTTTTATTATAGGCGGTTGTCATATATTGTATTATTCGAGTTGCGCAGTGTATAAAGTGGAACATTGAGATCAAAAGTGCCGACGTAGAGTGAGCGATCTGATTCTTTAGGTATAAACTGTGACATAGGAATCAAAATGGCCGCGCCCTATGTTGGGCGTGTCGGACCTCTCTCTTGCACCGTATAGTAATCAAAGTATGTGCTTAAAACATTAACACACAGGCAGTTGCTCTTGAGTTTTAAAATGTCAAAATTGTCAACTGGACGGTATATTAAATGCATTGGCGACTAGATAAAAAATAATACATATTATTTATTATTGTTTATAAAGAGTATTTTATGAAAAACTAGTTTAATTTATCAAAATAACCATAATTTTCATTTATTGTTAAAAAATATCGATAAATATTAACTTTAGGTACAGGGAATGCTTTATAAAAATGAAAGACTTGGAACAGATGATTTTACTGGTGATATAAAATATAGGTTGTCCCATTTAAATATAACAAGAAAATCAAGGGTCTGAGTATTGAGTCTCCCTGTATACAAATAAACAGATAATAAAAATATAACTAAAAAAAAGTATAATACATTATATTATAAAATTCGTGTGGGTAAAAATTTTTTTTCTACAGTGTGTAATTGGCTGCTGGACGTTGAATTATGTACAAAAATGTCAATTCCTTGAAAAGTACCCTATATAACATAGACAAACCATATATTAGAAGAGTGGAAAAAAGATGAGTAAACAGAATCTAAAATAATATACTGGGGTTATCATTAAAAAAACATATGTTTGGTTCGTACATGAGCTATGCAACACCCTGTATACCTCCCAATAATTTTAAAATGTTAACCTCAAACATGTCCATCATTTTCTCAATACACTTTTTTAATATCTCTTTCAACAAGGAAGATATCGAACTTTTCCACAAGATTGGTCCACCCTGTATGTTTATATACTAATATTATTAGGGTACTGTGCTACAAATAAATACCACTTTTATTAAAAAATACAAATTTTTCCCAAAAAGTCACATTCAAACAGGGAAAGAAGTTTTTTTTGCATGAGATATTTGTAAAAGAAAAACAGTAATATAATAAAATGCTTTAATGAGTCTACAGTACTAAAATTTAAAGGTTATGTGATGTCTGACCAATGACTTAACACCTTTTTTACCTGGTTCCGCGCTGACATATTGCATTTTTAGCCTATATGGCAAAAATAAAACGGGTGTTATCTGCTAACTAATCGGAAAAGTTTACAGCCTTATCTCAAACAAACATTGATGCATGCACGGTCTGAAACATCTGAACTCTTGCGACTAGATCCACAACATCCTGCCCTTTCTGTTGATATTTCTATGAAGACTTCTCTAAAGACATTATCTCCATCATGTTCTAAAGAATATAATTTTAGAAAAGGTCATTTTCCCAATTTATATCAAGATCTACTCACAATTGATCGGACCCACCTATATCAGTTCGGCAGCGTGGATGAAGCAATTAAAATGTTTTACGAGAGACTAATATCTTCAACAAAAACGTTCCTTTAAAGGTACCACCGAAAAATCATTATCCTGACTAGTTCTACTCTGAAATAATTAAAAAACTCAATTTGAAGTCTAAAGCATGGAATAAATACAAAAAAAAGTAAAAATCCTGAACACTACATCCAATTTAGTAACCTAAGAGCTGAAGTTAAGTATCTGTTTGATTCTGCTTACAAAATCTATTTGAGGACCTCCGAAGCAAACATTAAAACAAATCCCAATCAGTTTTGGTCATTTATTAACTCAAAAAAGGCGTGTCATCTTCAATCCCAGCCAATATGTCATATAACAATGTAAACTCAGAAAATGTCCAGGACATAGTTAAACACTTTGCCAGCTTTTTCGCTGAAAATTATATTGCGTCAGGATCTTACACTGCCTCCAACGTTACATCTTGCTCAAATCTGGTAACTATGCCCTTTTTTACAGAAAACGAAGTTATGATTGCCCTAAAAAAAAATGGAGTCAAAAACAACGACCGGCCCTGATCTGATTCCTTCCTTTCTAATTAAAGACTGTGCTCAAATTTTTTGTAAACCTTTACAATATATCTTCAACTTAATGCTATCATCGGGTACGTTCCCAACTATCTGGAAGCCTTCTCGAATATGCCGTGTGCAACTTCTCAAAAACATTAAGATTATTTTGATCTCTCTTTCAAGCTCCGTAATGTTATTATACCTGAACAACATGGATTCATCAGAGGACGTTCTACCATAACAAATCTCTTGTTTTACACAGTTCTTGTGTGAGGCAATTGACAAAAAGAATCAGGTAGACGTAATCTATACTGATTTTTCCAAAGCTTTTGATAGGTTGGATCATGGCATACTACTAACAACACTTCACCAGGTCGGAATGTCTGAACAGCTAATAACTGTCATAAAATCCTATATCTGGACGCACCCAATTTGTTCAATGTCTGGGTCGCAAATCACGTGTATTTTCTCAAACTTCCGGAGTTTCTCAAGGCTCTATTCTGGGTCCTCTTCTCTTCAACATTTTGTTAACGATATCGTAACTAATATTGATGTAAATTTTTTACTATATGCTGATCATTTAAAACTATTCCACACCATTAATAACTTGAATGATTGCCACTCTCTACAACGTAATATTAATCTATTAAATGATTGGTACGCTGCCAACAAATTGTCTCTAAATGCCAATAAATACAACATAATGACTTTTTCTAGAAAAGAGTCATTCATGCAATTTAATTATATACTTCAGGATATTATGCTATCAAGGCCTGAGTTGATAAAAGATCTTGGTGGTTTTATGACCGATTCAAATCCTGCAGCCTTGTAAAACGCAGAATAATGCTCTCCGTCACATTTTTACACAAAGTTATTAATGGGTATGTTGACTGTATGGAGTTAATCAACATGATCAACTTCCACGTTCCTAGGCTACACTTACATATATTTCACATTTCGCCTCATAGGACAAAAGTTTGTCTACTACAAATGCACCTTTTGTTTTTTGTTCTTCGTTTTTGTCATTTTTGTGTTCGAGAAGACATTGTTTTAACGAACCAATTGTTATTTATTATTTTAAAATATATTTTCTATTTGTTAACCCTTGTACTGTAATTGGGGTTAGCCCCGTGGACATTGTATAATAAATAAATAAATGGATGACCTGATATTAACTCAATTTGGAAAAATAGTTGACATATCGCCTTCTTTGCCTGTATCTTTCATATATTCTTCTTAGATATGAAATTACAGACTGCCTAAGTAATTAATAAACGTTAAGAGCTTTCAGTGGATCAGAACAATAACTCTAAAGTATTAACAACGAATAAAGATTCTAAATCTAAAACTTTTAATCAAAATTTATTAGCTTGACAGCATGAGAATATTAGGAAACATAAATTCCTAATTTCAATAAAAGGAACCATTCGCCAAAAATATCTTCAAACTCATGTTATTAGCTTAATAAACTTATAAAATTGTGCCTATTATAACATATTAACTATCTCACAATACTTAGTTCAAACACTCATTATTTTAATAAAGCATTATTATCTTTAACCTCTAATATCTCAAAACTCCACTTTGGCGTTTGGTTCTTTTTAAATAAACACAGTCCAATATAATCTGTCTAAATTACTCATAGCCTAAACATGTGTCAAAATTTATCAGTCTTGCAACTGGTTAAGAAAACTTAAAAAAAACAAATATGATTGGCCCCTATTAGGTTATCAAAGCTCTGATGAAAATAGCTGTATATAAATTTGTGAAAAATTCTTAAAAGCAGTATGCAGAATTCGTCAAACATATGCCCAAAAAACTAGTTTTTGTAGGCTCAACAGAGAATTCATGACTTGTGCATAAACTACCACAGCTTTGTTATTATTACATTATAAATTGTAAACAAAAGATTTCACATTATTTGCTTACATTAAAATTGTTTGATGCATGCTTTCATCGACCTGAACCTTTAGTTTGTACCTTTTTTTTAGGTTATGATATGTCTCCATTTGTAAGAAAATACGCTCGGTATCTCAACGAAAAAGCTTTGTCTTACAGAACTGTTGCTTTTGATTTCTGCAAGGTAAAACGAGGGTAAGTTGGAGATTATCAAGATATTTTACATTTTTCTTGTGATTTATCCACTCTGTTTTGAAAATTGTTCAAATATGTTAATATACGCAATTCTATGTTTATTGAAAAATAAGATTGTACACATGGAGGTATCCTAAACTGAACTGTACAGGTATGGACATTTCAAAAGTCATCTTACAGTAAATCGAACAAGGTATAATAGGTACAAAAGAACTAGATGATAATGGGTGCCGTTTAACATAAGCTTTGTTTTTCAGTTTGGTTTGTAATAACTTTCTTTAGTTCTAACTTAGTATGCATAAATGCATGTCTCATATACACCGAATTCTGTATAGAGGTATTTGAAGATTTGAGAACGATTTAAACGCCGTCTGGCCCGAATTAGCATATCAAATTTCTATCTAATAATCTTGACAGTCAGTGTCCTAATAGTCTAAAAGGAAGGGCACTTGTATAGCATACAAGGAGGTCTGGGTTCGATTCCCAGCTGCGACACTTTTTTCAAGTCTACAAGTATTTGTTTTCACCTTTGGGGTTCGGAGATGATCTTAATAATTCGTAGTGGGATTTTTGAGATTTATTTTCGAATTTTCAAATTATTCAGCCGCTTATTTCAGATATTTCTCTTGACAATTTTCAATTATATTGAACTTTCGAACTTTTATAATCAGAACTGAAATGATCAAGAAGTAATTAAAAAGCAACCTATGAAACTATGTCGCTAAGTGTAAAAAAAGACATGAGTAGTCCTGAAAAAATGCAATATAATGATGTTACTACCAAGAATGGTACGGAAATTTGCTTCCTATTTTCGCCGTGTCTATGAACCTTATGTTCAAGTTCACTCAATTTCTCTTGAAAGTAGTAATACTAAAATCAATACGTTAACTTTAAGCTTAGAAGCCATAAATAAAAATTCAATTCACTCGATATTAAAAAGAGTCCTGGCATTGATGGGTATTTGATCCTTAAAAGATGTGCAAGTATCCACTATTTATCCTATTCAACAAGTCAATAGAATCGGATTTTCTCTTAGATGAATAGGGTTTTATTAGTAACGATATAAAAAAACTGGGGACATAAATTTGATAAATTATTTTTATTAGTAAACTATCTTTAAAATCTTATCTGTGACGCTTTGTTCGACGACTTAAAAACTCAATATGGCTTCTTCTCTAAACGAGGGATCAAGACTAATTTGGCTATTTACGAAGAGTATATTTCGGGCGCACTTGATAATCGTGTGTAGGTTGATTCACTGTATACCGATTTTAGCAAAACGTTTGATAAAATCGATCACAATTTGCTTTTGATTAAACTGGTCTAAATCAGTGTACAGGGATATCTCTTGAGATGGTTCTCAATGTTTATAATAGGACTTTGTAAATATTACTGGTTATAGGTCTGTACCATTCATTGTAACCTCTGGGTTCCCACAGGGTATTCAACTGGGCCCTTTAATGTTTGATATTTATTAACAAAATAAATTATTTTAAGCATACAAATATATATTATACCCGGACGATTTTAAAATATTTAAAAAACAAAAGAAATTATTGTATTCAGTTTTAGGCAGGTACAATTTGCACTTTTAATAAAGAGGATTATAGAGTAGTTAAGAGGATTGCCCTGCTTCTTGTAGGTACATATTCCTAGACTAATCCAGTATCATTCCCTTGCACATTCATCTACCTGATTTGGGAAAAACCAAAGATGTTAAAATTTCAACTTTACATTGATATATGTAAGATACAATTAGAAAAATATACAGCGTGTAATTTACTCAAATATTTCGATTTTTGATAGTTTTATAAAAAAGTTTTAATTGCCATTTTTATGAAATGAATTAAGTTTTTAGTATAGGTCAATTAGAAATTTACTGGGTGCACCATACTCCATAACTTTAAAACTAGTAAATTTAGCACTAACCATGTGGTTAGTGGTTGTATTATAACTTCAATAGAGTACAAAAAACTGAAAAAATATCCATGGTGTCAGTGGCGGCTTGTGGTAAAAATTTTAGGCACTATTTTATTGTACTCTATTTTCTTCAAGCAAAATACAAAATGTTTAAAAAAATGACGTGAACAATTTAAACAGATAGTGCGATTTTACAGTCTGTGTTTTTTAAATTAAGTCTATCTTACGTTCTTTTTGGTTCACAAATTTTGTAATAACTTTTTCATTAAAATTGTCTTTTTCGGAAGTGAACTTTTTTTCAATAGATAGCATGGAAAGAGCTGTTAAACGATCTTCGGTCATTGATTTTCTGAGAAACGTTTTGATTCGATTTAGTGTTGAGAAACATCGTTCGGTCTCTGATGTTTTTATTTGTGTCATCGACATCAACTGCTAAGGTTATTAGCCTCGTGTTCTGTGTAGGCTTTGTTACTGTTTCCCAGCGCCACTTTAGGAACAGCACTGTTAATTAGAACCCAACAGTGAATGGTCGAGTGAGGAATCCTAACAAGGCATCAGAATTATTTTTAAATAATTTAAATTAAATAAAAAAATCCCTGCCAACGGTGGGATTCGAACCTGGGACTCTTTGATTCACAGGCAGAGACTCTACCACTGAGCCACCCACCCCTTAGGTCTCTGATGTTATAGGAATTGTTACCACAATTTATAATAATTTTCTAGTCTCCTTTAACGTAACTCCTAGATTATTTAATATTAAAAATTTTAGTAGAGATAGTGCGCCATTCAATGTCTTGCAATCATTTCTTGAATAAATAATAGACAGTTCAATTCGTAATCGTTCTTTGTCAAGTGTGGGATAAAAGGAGCATGCGGAAGTGAGTTTATCCTCGGGAAATTTACCACAATACTCTCCAAAGCATTCCGAAAAAAAGTGAGGACTACTAGATGCTCTTTAAAATAAATCGATCTTTTGCACAATTTAGGATAATGTCACGCACCTCTAAAGCAGAAATCCGATGATTAAATCTGCTGTTACTTGGGCGCTTGCGTTTATTTTCTGGTGGTTGGTCGCTTATTATATCTAATGCTTCAGTAATGATGCTATTAATATTATTTCAAACTTGAGTGGTACTGCGTTTAAAATTATCAATAGCGTCTTTTAATAGAGTGGGTTCAATTTTTCTCTGCTGTAGTTGATTGAATAGGATGTCTACGTGGGCATCACACGATGAAAAAAAATTATCCAAAAATTGAAGATCGGATGAGACGCTCTATTTTCGTACACAACATTAATGGTTCTCGTATTAAAATTCCAACGGGTTGTAACGCCGTGGGGGATCCTTCTCTTCACAATCTTGTTTAAGACTTCTACTCGTTGGGGTGAATTATTAAAAAAGCCCGGAATCTCTTGTAAATTTCCAAAAAATACAGATACTTGCGAATTTGCAAAAGCTGTTTTAGACATAATTAAATTTAACTGATGGACATAGCAATGTACATAGTGAGCAAAAGGAAACTTTTTTAACTAATGCTTGAACTCCTGCGTATTGGCCGCTCATCACCGCGGCTCCATCATAACTTTGTGCAATCAGTTTGTTCTGTTAATTTTGAATTAAAGGATCTATAACAGTTAAAATTGTTTTACTAAGTGTAAAAAAAACTCGTCTTCTGCAAATTTAGGTTTCAAATGGACTGTATGACTTTTATTGACATTAAATAAACAACATAACAACTGTTATAAAAACAAAACAGAACTTTTCAATTAACATTAAACGTTACACGACGCAGCGTGAAAGGGTAAAGCGAAGAGCCAGTTCAAAAGCTCCACAAAATTTAATGCAATTAATAATTTTGAAAAATATACCTATTATTTGACACATTTTCATTATGTCTCTGTATATTTAACTAATAAGCAGAATCTAATTGAGCTATAATATTAGTTGTCCCTAGCAACGCAAATTCCATGCAATTATGGAAATGGTTTTTAGAGTTTTTGTGTTTTTTATCTTTAAACTTAAGTGTTCAAGATCGATCACCCCTATTTCCGTCCAAGATTTATCGCCACCAAAAAGTAAACAGGGAAAAACAGCATTTTTTTGTTGCATCCACAGATCCATTCGTTTTTTGAATATCTCTATTAAATTTTCGTGTGTAACTTTTTTTTCTACTTACACCAGTGTGTCGGTAGGTAGGTAGATTATTTTACTGGTCGACTTTACGTACACTGCTGCCAGCGATGCCTGCGCTTCACCATCAGTTATTTTTAAACATTATTACAGTGAGAATATAATATACATTATCTTTTTGAGTTAGATTATGTATTTAGCATTTTTTTTGGGAGCTCTGCAGCACTTATCCACCAACCGCCAATGCATGGTGTACTATTTAAAAAAATATATCTTTGAGTCATTTTGAGTAAATTTTAAATAGGTAATCAACATTACAGTAAGGCGATATTTTACAATTTCATAGACATTCATTATCTTTATCGATTAAATAAATGATTTCCAGAAAAATATTAGCCAATGTTTAATTTTAATAAAGAATTGAAAATTCACGCCTCATTCATCTATATTTTTATATGAATTGACATTATTATCTTTTAAGTTTTAGACGTAGATACTTATTTAAATATGCTTTGTGAATATGGATGTTATACTTATACTTTACTATTTATACCCACTGTATAATATGTATAGAAGAAAACACTTTTTACCTCAAAACCTAAAATGTTTGTGGCTTATATAGGTAGGTATTTAGATTAAATCCGTTTTATGGCTCGATTACATGAAATGAGCCCCAAACTAAGTTTTACATTTGATGCTATTTAATCATACTGAAAATAGCTATTTACGTATTTTTTTTTTTTTTTTTTTTGGAGTGAGGGTAGCCATATGTGAGTAGTAGGGATTAAGTGTAAGGGGTTAAAGAAAAGGTCCTTTATTTCTCACAAGTCAATTTAATTGGCGACCGGTTTCGAAGCTGTCACTTTATCATCAGGCACACCTAAATGGAATGTCAAGGAGTCAGTTGTAATAAAAAACAATTAATTGTGTGCCTGATGATGAAGTGACAGCTTCGAAACCGGTCGCCAATTAAATTGACTTGTGAGAAATAAAGGACCTTTTCTTTAACCCCTTACACCTATTTACGTATGTTCTTAAATTAGTTTATGATTTCCTACTATATTAAAGTGCCAATGTCTGCCTGTCTGTCAAATTATCGTTGTTTATCAACACACTACGCACCTTGTGTAACTTTTGAAATTTCTTAAAATTTGAAGCGTCTAAAACGCTCGGTGCCCCGGTTCTATTAATTATTGTAGGTTGATCTAATTATTTTCGCGAAGAAAAATGAAATCAACATACCTTATTGCTCTATATAACAGAAAGAAGATAATTTTCAATATTTTAAAAATACATTGGAAAGTTTTTTCTGCTAGTCAGATTCTTTACAATTATAATTAAAACTAAATATTTTTAAAGTAAATCGTTACCTATAAATCTACAAATAAATTACTGTACCTAAATACGTTTTAAATTAATTTTTGTGCGCTTATGAGATCTATAAGAAAATTCATATTTATAAACATAACCTAAAAATAAACATTCCTGTGTAACGAAAGATTAACATGTAAATAGTCCGTTTTTTACAAACAAAACACTGTTGAACCATGTACATAATGAACCATATACATAATCAAACAAATTCAGAAAAAGCAGTTTTCACAAAAAGATAACTGCAATCAACCAAACACAAAGTACTTGTATGACAAATACCATCAAAAGTAAATGCGCTGTTGCCAATCATAAAATTTCTTCCGATGATTTAAAGTCAAACAGTATTGCAAGCTAATGTATTTAAATTACTACTGTTAAAAACACCATAAACTTGGCATCAATGTTCAATCAGATTATTGTGTTTCTGCCACAGACGCCAACGTTGAGGCTTCAGAAATTTTGTAAATAATCCTATTTTTCTTGGTTATATATCTATGGTAATAATAGTACCGCCTATGGCCTTTATTTACTTATGAAACTTAGTGAATTACTTCAAATGTATATTTTAGAGTAAACGAAACCTTCAATAGACATTTTTACACTTAAAACTAATAAAATTTGTAAAAAAAGAACTCTGCAAATATGTAAAAAGACGCTGTGGTAATTTAAAAACACAAGAAAATGACTGGCAATTCGGAATTCTTATTGACAGTTTTGACTATTGCCGCTGCAATAATAAAATTTTAAATGAACGAATCTCATCAGTTAACCAGAAGAGAGAGAAAGTTTAGACGAACAAAGCTAGACCATTTTACTTTTGTTATAATAGGCGAGTTCGGATAGTCAGGGGCTGGAGCGGGACAAAAGCGGAGTTTTCTAGGGTGCTTTTAAATGACATTTAAGCGTGTTAAACTGTCACTTATCGGACTAACCGAACGCTAAAAGGGTCGTTTGGAGTAAAAAGTGTTAAAGGAGTTAAAAGAACGTGGCAGACCGAACGCAATGCATAGATACACATACCGCTGTGGCTCGTTGCGCATCAATCTGTTTATGTGAATAAGTAGTGGGGCGAGCAGAAATGGAGGTTTGGTCGTTGCCGGATAACGGTGGTCTGTCTGTCTGTCTGTTACGTTGATGTTCCTGTTATACCTTGTATCTCTGTACAAAATATAGCGAAAGTTAATGAAAATTATTAGAGGTTAAATTAAAGTTTGTTCCATTAGAGAAACGTATAGCTGCGTTTTGTTGGGATAGCTATGAACCTTTTTTTTTATTTCTATGAAAACTTACAAAATGTAAAAATTATAATTGATCTTGCGAATCTTTTGCAATTCTCCAAATTGTAACGTTCTCATTACTCTTTTTTCGAAGAAATTGATTATCTAATGCCTACTTCTTAATTTTAATTTTTCTGGTTTTGCTTTTGCAAAAATTATAATAATTAAAAATAAACATTTACACTGTAACTACGAGTATTTATAAAAATTCGCCGAGGAGTACATGTAAATTCTAACTTTCGTACTTCAGTTTAAACCGTATACTTCTTTTTATTGTTCAGCTTTGGCTTCAATTAAAGTTGCAACGTCTTTTATAATTTGTCTGCCTTAGCTATGGATAATTTTTTCTGTAACACCAGTACATTTTTTAGGAGGAATAGTTTTATATATTTATACAAAACACAACACTAATTTATAAACAAACTAACCTCTTCTAAACGACAGGCTAAACCTCGCCCATGCTAATTGTACTATTTTTAAATTCCTCTAACGCAACAAAAGTGTAAATAATGAGTTACTATAGTTTTCGTTGCACCCCTCGATATAGTTACTCGAACTATAAAAGTCCGAATATACCCAACACTACTTTGAACTTTAAATTTATTATGCCCATTAAGAGTTTTTTACTCAGCCTTTATTTTGATAAAAATATAAATTTTGTTTTAGGAAAGACGATGGTATGTTAAGAACGATGAATGCAGATAAATTACTAAAAACCGTTCCGACTTTACAAAATCAACTCGATGCCTTATTAGAATTCGATTGTTCGGCCAATGATTTAACAAATGGAGTCATCAACATGTCTTTCATGTTACTATTTAGAGATTTAATTCGCCTATTTGCATGTTACAATGATGGAATTATTAATTTATTAGGTATTTTTTAAATTGTAAAATAAATATTTTAATGGATACATTCAATCATTAACGTTTTCTTACAGAAAAGTTCTTCGATATGAACAAGAAACAGTGCAAAGAAGCTTTAGATATTTATAAGAAATTTTTAATTAGGATGGATTATGTATCAGAATTTTTAAAAGTTGCGGAGGTATGAACCCTATTTTTTATCATTTACTTTATTCAGTAAATATATCAGAAATATAAAAATATTTTTTTATTTGTAGAATGTAGGTATCGATAAAGGAGATATACCCGATTTAACAAAAGCACCAAGCAGCCTTTTAGATGCATTAGAGCAACACTTAAATTATTTAGATGGGAAAAAGTCGACAACTTCTAACCAATCAAGGTATTTATTTATTATTCGTTCGTCTATTTTATAATACAGTTAACATTTAATTTTTAGTAGTGCGAGTAATCAAAAAAATGTTAAATCTGGTGTATCAGCGTTATCTACAACCAGTAATGCATTTGGAAATGTAGTAGCAAATGCTCGTTTCGATTCATCGAATGGTATAGATGAACAGTTAAAATTACAACTGCTTGCTGAAGAGGAGGCTGCAATGAATCAATTTAAAGTACGTTTACTTTTTTTATTCATATAATACAAATGCTGTTTACTTTCAGTTGAATAAAACAGTTTCTCCTGCATAGTCAATGCATTTTTGCATCCGTAAAAACCATTCTTGAATACATTTTCTCCAATCCTCTGGCCGTAGTTAGATATATCTTTATCGAAGAAGGTAGCTCTAATATATAAACAATTTTTTTAAATGTTACAAAAAACATTCAAAATGCAAAATTCGAAATATGGAAAAAAATTATAATTGATGACAACAGAAAAAAAAAACCAATCATGAGTCCAAATTATAAAAGTTAAATGTTTAAAAGAAATTTATCCGGTCAATCGTGAACATATTATTTTAAAAAACTGTTACTGACGAACTAGCTTTAATACAAAACGACAATATGTTTATTTATTTAGTTATACTGTTTTACAGGCGAACCTAATTACAAAACAGGCTACAAAGTTACATTTTATATAAAGTTAACAGGTCAACAAATTAAATATTAGAAAAAATAAAAATGTACATGAGGCAAAATATACCATAACAGAGAATACAATATTAATGATATTAAACAAATACATACAACCTAGCTTCTAAAATTATAATAACATGATTTAATGCCATACACAGTACAGCAAAATATATCTAATGCCCTTCCTAACAAATTACATTGATTACACATAAAATACATGGGCGAGAATTTAAGAATATTTTTACGCGGCACAGGAAGGTAAAATGTCAATTCAGTATGACAAGAAATTCTAGGTACATAAAAATTTAATCTTTGAATAAGATCGGAGCAGTCAAATCTGTTACTAATTAATTTGTACAGGAATATAAGAGAATTTCAATTTTTTCTAGTACTCAGACTGGACATATTATGCCTGGATAAAAGCTCATCCTGCATAGTGCCAATAATAGGGTATCTGTTTTCCAATTTAAAGCTCAGAAACTTTAAAAATCGTCGCTGATTCAAGCTTGTTATGTGTAGCGTAGTATGGACTCCAGATAATTGTAAGTGTCAAAATATCTACGAATTTTCTACCGGTTCTTACAATGAAACCGTACATTTTAAACGCTTTAGAGACAATTGAGTCAGTATGGGGAATAAATGAAAATGTTCCAAGATCAACTAGCTGGGCATTGAAGGCTAATCTCATTTATTTCGTAATAGAATAAAATGGGGTTAGACTTTTTGGAAAAAAAAATTATATTGCACCACCCTTTAACACTTAATAGGTTTTGATAAAGACGATCATAATCGTTAGTATTAGAGACTGATCCAAAAAGTTTTAGGTCATCTGCGTAAAGAAGGTAATGACAATCAATTACATCCATATTGTCATTGATAAACACATTGAATAACAAGATAGGCTATTGGGCAGAATTAAACCCATTGAGAAATACGTATTGTTTTCTCTCTTGAAGATAAGATTGAAACAGTTTAAGAAGAGAGTTAGACATTCCGAAAGTTCTTAATTTACGAAGCAATATTCCATGGTCAAGTCTGTCGAAAGCCTTAGAAAAGTCAGTGTATATTACATCTGTTTGTAAGCGATTATCAATGTCTTCTGCAATAGACTGCGATAACTTAGCTTAATGATCTAACACCGTACCTAATATTTGCCGATTGTTGTTGTAGTAATGTAAACTTTATTATTGTACTTCATAATATTTTTTTTTACTGGCAAATTATTATTATTTTTTTGGGTGTCATCGGCATCAACTGCTATGGTTATTAGCCTAATGGCAAATTATTATTATTATTATTATTATTAAATTCGTTACTGTAAAGCGCGCCTTTTAACGAAGGCATGCTGATTCTGTGAAATTTTACTAATAATGTGTGTATTTAAGTTCTGATGCAATACATTTTCAAGTATTTTAAAAAAATTGCATTTGATTGAGATGGGCTTGAAATTATTTATGTTCGATTTGTTCCCTTTTTTAAATCTACGCATCTACGTCACCTTGTAGCGAACTGATTTGAAATATTCCCATTATGGCATTCATTTGTATGTGTTTCTGTTACGAGTTAGGTAAATGTATTTTGTGTTTTTATTTTATTGTAGTGAAAATTCCACACCTGTAATTTTGAACCAATCAAAATACGTGTTTTTGACAGATCACCATGGCAACGGAGGTATTTTAGTGGAAATTTTTTTCTCGTGGGGTACCCAACAGCGAATTATACTGGAAATTTTTTGACATTTACAATAACAGACCATTTTTGACAGACTGGTTTTTATTTGTTCACATAATAGGTTTAGTTTTGATACATTTTAGTTACAATGCTAAGGTGTTTTCTATATTCTTCGGCCACTTCTTTTCTTCTTAATGGCGAAAATGCAGGACTTTGGATGCTTTGAATTATGTGTCTATGTCTAATAAAATATATATAATATTTAGACACTAATTTATTCACCTTTTTCCCATTCAGCACTTTGAATTTTGCGTAGTTTAGGTGCAAATATTCGTGGACAATTCGGAACAAATTTTCGTTTTTCAAGTTGGAGCCACAATCCTCTATTAATCCGAGTAAGTAAGTCATGGTGCAATGATTGATCATTACATCAGACAATTTCACGCATATTTTGCATAGCGTATGATTTTCAAATCGATTCATTTTTAAACAAATAGGTAATTTTGTTGGTTTTACTTGCTGTGCAATATTCTTTATCGCAACAAAACGCGAGTTATTTAATGTTTTGAACTGTCAAAATACAATGATCACAGCCTCCTACGATTGATGCTTGCTGACGCTGGTTATGAATTTCATACCATTTTAAAGCGCTCATAACGCATGTTAATAAAAACGCAGAAAAACAATTTTCTACCACTTGTAGTTATTCAAAACTTACGTAAAATTAAAGAATATACTATTTTCTATTTTCAAATGGTATTCCCATGCAACTACAATGAGTAGAAATAAGCAATTTGAAGGCCTAAATAATTGCAGCGAAACATTTTTTTACGTCGGGCCGCTTGACAACTTCAAAACTGAAATTATATTCGAGGTTAGGGTCTCACTTAGTTACTATGACAACTCAACAATCAAGGCGACAACACCTTTTATGTTTCACTGGTGACTTGGAGAAAATAATTTGCATTGTTGAGAAACGAAAAATAAATTTTAAAAATATTTAATTTTCAACCATAATTCGGCGTGGAATTTTCTTACCGAATACCACGCGAGGTCAAATTAATATCAGGAAATTTTTTGGCCTCTAGTGGTATTACTAGTGAATGTATATTGTGTTTTCATTTTATTTTACCATTTCAGAAAGGCATTTTACTAAGTAATTCATTGACTAGACTTTACCACTTTTTACATAATAAATATAACCTTAAGTATACTCTCACTTATGGACTGAACCAAGATGTTCTTGAAATTTTTTTTTTTTTTTTTTTTTTTTTTTCATATATTCACATGCCATATTTTCAATGAACAGAAATACTGAGAACACTATCGAAACGTGCCTACTCCAACCATTGCAAAAAAAGATGACATTGCAAACAATACGGAATTTGACCCTGAAATCTGTTTAACCCAACAGTTATTTGAAAAAGTTTTTTCAGACGGCGATTTTGTAGAAACATCGAATATTTTTAGTGAAGAAATGTTTTCTGACCATACTTTCCAGAGTCCAGATTATGGAACAGACATATTTTTTTTCTGAAGACCATTTTTAAAGAATGTCTAAAATTTATTGCTGGATATGTAGTTTAAAATTGGATACACACAAAATTTTGCCAAACAACCCATGCCTCCGATTGGATCGACTATATATCTAGAGGCAGCTTTATATATCCAAGTAAAGAAACTAGCTCGTATAGTTGAAACCGAATTTAATCGATTTCATAATATCTTCTTTTCGAAGGAATCAAATATTTTTTAAAAAGTTATTAGATAAAATTAGAGCAGGTTCTGTAGAAGCAACAAAACAATTTCCAAATAAAATTATATTGTGTTTAATAAGAACCAGAACCTATATCAGATTGAGACATTTGAATAAAAACGCCAAAAAAAATGTCAATATTTACAAATAATAAGTTAGTTTTGTTATTAGTTTTAATTTATAATGTATTTTTTGTTTATTATGTTTGTTTATGTACTTGTATTTTGAAAAACCCACAACCGTAGCAAGTTTCTTGCAATTTCTTCTTGCTAGGTGTAATCGAAATTGCGGATTTTTCACATTAAATCATGTTAAGTATTATTTTCTTTTCTTTATATACACTGCGGTGACCATATATGTATAGCATTTCGCTGTATTGTATATACAAGTTTTCAAAGTCTATTCAGAATTTGATATTGTACAGCTAAATGCTGTATTTGTCCAGGAGAAACGCCATTATTGTCCAGCAATGTAATACATAATTTACTGAAACATAACAAATAAGACAAAAATGTAATAATTGACTCTCTCCATCTCCCTTTACATATAGAAGAAGTAAAAATTGGAAAGGCTTTTGCCAGTTCTCCCACTTCATACACATAAATTGACAGGTTTGCTGCGGATCTCACCGAAGTGGACGCGATACATTGGCGTACAAAATTATTTTATAGACGTTAATAACAATTTCGAGTAAATAGTTTAATAAATTGTGAATAGCTGTTGAATTTTTGTAAAATTATGATTTGAATATTATAATACATATTTAATAATTATTTATAGTCCATAAATACATGCGATTGTCCGGTTCCGCCGATAACAATTTAAAATTACTTATTCTATGAAACGACACTGGCAGGTAAACATTACTGCGAAATTCTCGTAGCCGTCCGACGTGATTTGACGTTTACCCCCTCTCTACCTACCAAAAGCCTTTCCAACTTTTACTTTCGTTATACCATGCCTTTGAAAAACGATAACGACTGCAGAATGTCTTTTTTAATTTTTAAACTTTTGCTACCACTTAAACAGCTTTTGATTGCACACGTTACCATTTTTATATAATAATTGCTTATATTATTATATTACAATAAAATTTAACTATTATCGTCTAACTATACAGGGTGGCGCATCCTATACGCGTCGGTCTCTGTAGGGGAAACGACTTAAAATTTGAATTTTTTTCTTAATATACAGGGCCATTAACACTACAAATTAAAAATAATTTGGATTATACAGGGTGTCCCAAAAATAAGAATTAATATCAGTGATGTTTTTTTAAAGGGAACACCCTATATTTGAAGGTGTCTTTTGATTCCCCCGAAAAAATAAAGTAAGGTTTCCGTAATGTTTCCTATACCTATCTCTTTTCGTTGTTGAAACATTTAAAGGATTCTTAATTTGTAAGCTTGAACAACATAACCTAGTATGTCGCGGTTATTTAAAATACATCAACAGTCACCTGCGATATGCGTAGCCAAGATATTAGACTATCGAATAAAATGCAAATTTTTCCATTACATCATACAGGGTGCTCATTTAGTCTAATTGAATTCGACTTACATATGGAGTTGAATAATATTCTTATTTTAAATGGCACACCCTGTATTTAATAACTTAAACTGATAGACATTTAAATTATCTTTCATTCCGTATAAGATTTCCCTATACCTAAATTTAACGGTTTTTTTTAGTAAATATCTGTTTTTATGTTTAACATAGCTAATTTTTGTAAATACTCTTTCCCGTCAAAGTGACCATTGAATTTAAATGTCAAATGTCAATTATGTGGACCACCTCTTCCGATCCATTTATTAACAAAACGCCGGTTTAAGTATCGCCGTACTCAAAGTTGAAAATGTGCTCCATCCAAATGCATCCACATTTTCTGCCTAGTATTTAAAGATACATTATCAAAAAGCCCAGATAATTTTCTCCGCAAAAATTTTAGAAATTTTCTGTTTTATGTTTTATGACCGATAAAAAAATAAGGACCAATAACATGTAAACCTAATATTCCTCACCACACATTCAAGGACCACCTATGCTGATGATCGAGAGTACGAAAGACGTGAGGATTTTCATCACTATAATAATGAAAATTATGGCGATTAACGAGTCCATTATTATGAAGTATGCACTCGTCCGAAAACAGAACATTATCAAACAAATCCGCATCTGATTCTACTTTATCCATAACCCATTAACAAAAATCGATTCTTTGTTGAAAGTCCATTTGATACAGTTCTTGGTGCACTTGTATCTTATAAGGATCAAATTATGTTTTTTTATTATTCGTCCAATACTTCTACTTATTCCAGTTTCTCTACTAATAGCCCGATGGCTTGTGTGGGTTTTCTATTAGTGAGCCAATAACCCAAAATTCATTATCATGATCTCCTACAATAGGCTGAGGCTGAATAATTTTTTTATAATCTACGTTTTCGCTAACTTTAAACTGTTGTAGTAATCTTTCAAAAGCACGTCTGTCGGGTTTCTCTCGATCTGGGTATTTTTGGCCGTAAACTCTAGAAGCCAATAAACAGTTTTCATGACACTCACCAAGAACAAGCACCATATCAATTCTCTCTGCTTTAGAATAAGTTTTTATGTTTCAAATTCGATTTTTCGTACATTTGATATCTAACTTACTAAATAGAAATGTCAAACTCGCATTTGACATTTAAATTCAATGGTCACTTTGATGGGAAAGAGTATATACAAAAATTACCTATGTTAAACATAAAAACAGATATTTACTAAAAAACCGTTGAATTTAGGTATAGGGGTTGAATTTAGGTATAGGGAAATCTTATATGGAATGAAAGATAATTTAAATCAGTTTAAGTTATTAAATACAGGGTATGCCATCTAAAATAAGAATATTATTCAACTCCATATGTAAGTTGAGTTCAATTAGACTACATGAATGTATGATGTAATGGAAATTTTTTTATTTTATTCGATAGTCTAATATTTTGGCTACGCATATCGCAGGTGACTGTTAATGTGTTTTAAATAACCGCGACATACTAGGTTATGTTGTTCAAGCTTACAAATTAAGAATCCTTTAAATATTTCAAAAATGAAAAGAGATAAGTATAGGAAACATTACAGAAACTTTACTTTATAGAGACCGACGCGTATAGGATGCACTACCCTGTACAATTGGATTTTTCTTTTGGTACTGAAGCGTCATCTTAATTTTATACATTTTGAGGGACACTTTCTGTATACAGAGATATTCTCCTTACCTCTACACTCCATAACATTTTTCTTGTACCTAAATGATGTTTACATGAAGAAACAAAATATAATTTACTATAGCCTAAATTTTGAATAGAAAATATCTGGTGGTGGCATGTGAATACATCTCAGCAATGTTATTAACCTGCAGGACTTCGATCTGAGAGGCTGCCTACCTCTAGACGCCCCTAGCGACAAACAGCAGTTTTTTGACGATTTGATTACCTGCAAGACTGATGAACTGGGAAGATGGCTGTCTCTAGATATCTTTCTGCAACAACCAGCAGGTTTTTGGCTAGATGTTAGGCATGTACAAGTGTTGTGGAGCAACCCTCCCTTTCAACTTTACAGATACAGATGTTGTGATGTTGCATTTGAATTTTTCGCATATGTTTCATGCCTTAACTTAAAATTGTGATTTCTTGCAAAATGTTTAACTTTTAAAATGATGTAAATATTATAGAAAATAAACAGTGTGTTTTATAAACAATATATTTTACTCTTCCAGATATCGGTTCCATAAGTAAGATCTGTTTTTTTTTTTTCAGTCAAAAGTGTCACCAATTCAAGCCAACAATCCATTTTTAAGTAATTCTTCGTCATCAACGACGGTATCATCACAATCCGTCAGTTCACCTCAATTTGACTTGTTCACTGTCGATGCAGCTTCCGTCAATCCAAGAGCTTCTGATGATTTGTTACAGTTATCCAATCCATTTGCGGATGCTTTCACTCCTCAGCCAACTTCGAATGCGAACTCTTTTATTAACCAGCAGAACAACGTTTGGATGCCTAATAGAAACGGTAAATATAGAGATTATAATAATAAATAGAAATATTGTGATTGTATTGGGACAATCTTTGTAGTAGACTGGAATCGTAAACGTTACGGTTCTTATTGCAATAATTTGCGAAAGTCTAAAAATTACAAATATGTGGGTAGCTTCTTTTCTGCAGGAAGCCGTCCAATTAGGCATCAAGAAGGACAAACGGTTCTCATATATGCAACTAATTTTTCTTTCAAAATTATCTAGTCTTAAGTCCAGAACGGACGGCACTGTTGGAAATAAAAAAAAATTTAAGGTAAAAAAATGCTCTTTAACGCACAAACGGCGTACACCAAATTTCATAAAAATATTTAAAGTGGTATGAAAATGATAATAAAAAATTTAAAATTTAACACCCTATATCTCAAAAGTTTAGGATATACATTCATATGAAGCTTTTTTTTTTAAATGGGTCCAAGAATCACCCCCTTAAATATTAGCCTGTTATTAAGAAACACCCTATATATTTTTGTTGAAGGTTTTGCAGTGTTGAGCCCTGGAAACAACCCGGCTCCGTCTGGTGGGACATTCGTAAACGAAAATAGTTTTGCAGCCGTATTTGGAAACGCAGAAACCAAGAGTAAGACAATTAAATATATTCCACTTGTTTTTCGATATAAAAGGTTTTAAATTTTAGCAAACAATTTTGATCCTCTCGGTGGCGTCCTTCAGCCTGCAAACGCAAATGGAGAAAGGCCTATTGGTATTGGTTATAGTGAAAACAACAACCCACAACCTACCTCTAACGGCCTATTAACCGGTGATTTGGATTCAAGTTTGGCATCGTTAGCTGAAAATCTTTCAATAAATAGAGCAACAGTTACAAAGTTAGTAAAACGTTTCATACAATAATTAATTATTTAATATATGGTTTTAAATCTTCATTTTGATATAAATTTGATTTTATCTTAGAAGTATCCAATGGAACTCGCCCAAAAACGGTTCAAAAACAGGCAATAACTGGACACCTCAACCAATATCAGACACAACGGGAGCTGGATACAAACCTATGAATCAATCGATGCCTCCTTCGCCATTTAGCAGTATGACAATTCCACCTGCACAACAACCACAAATGTATCCACAAATTATGGTAAGTTTTTAAAAACTTCATATCTGTATAATATAATCGTCTAGGCAAAAGGACTTCTGTCAATAGCCTATTGGACCATGTACTTTTTTTTATATTATTTTGATTACTTTCACCAAATTTAAATAAAAAAAAACACTTTATTTCACATTGGCTTACATACAAAATTGACGTACCTAACGTTCGACCTTCCAACTACAGTCAATTTGATAAACTATAAAAAGAAGGATGGAAATTTGAAATGTGTCCATTGTCGGTTCGCCTCCTTCTCTCTAGTCTTCATATTACTGCTTTTTTCATGATTAAGGTAGATATAGGCAACACATTATACACTACTTACGAAAAATGTTCAATGTTTATATCTATTTCTTAAGATAATGTGATGGTAGAAAAAATCGAGTGTATTTTGAGCGACAACATTGCCGCTTTTGACAGATTGCTCGCGCTCCGCTTGAATTCTAGGCTGGCTCCATAAAAGTATAATTCAAACATAAATTAAATGACAATATAAACTAATAATCATGATTGTGGTTCGTAATATTTTTTGCCACAAAACCAATCTTGAAATTTTCGACCTTGGTGATTTTAAGCCATATAGCAGAGACAATCCAGCGAGACGTGTAACTCAATGTATTTTTTTTGTTCGGTAAAAGTTATTTGGGCGATTGTAACCACAACCAGTCTATGATGGCGCCACTAGTAAATAGCGGGAAAATTATAAAAATGCTTTAGGGCGGGAAATTCAAACATGGATTCAGAAATAAAGTTTTTCTATACAAATTTACAGGAGAAACAAAAACTATTGTTTCACTGTATATTAAAAAAATATAAAAGCTTCCAATAACATCAAATTTTTATCACGTAAATAATCATTTTAATAAAGGAAGTTTTAATCAGTTTAATATAAACAGTGAACATAGTTTTTATTACTTTTGTAAATTTCGCTAAAAAAAAACTTGAAAATTCTATTGATTATTAAATATTTAAACTTGGAAAAATAATATACCAAACTCTTTTTCTATAAATTATATTTTTGTAAGGTACAGAAAAACAAACTACAATTGCTTCGTTTAGAAAGTACCTCGTATCATTTTGTGACAAATTACAAAGAAAGTAACAGTTGTTATATATTCATAATATATTTAAAAACTAATGTAACAAATATTTTATAAAGTATAGTATCGATACCTTTTTGCCAGACTATCATAAGTGCCATTTGAACAAATGTCACTTATGTTAGTCTGGCAAAAAGGTATGGATATGTTATGACTGTTTATTTTAATAGAAACCATGGAAATGAAACACACATACACTCAACACAAATGTATAAGGCCCGAGTCAAGTAAGTTCCCATCCTGTAAACTGGATCGAAACCTGCTAACTCCTCTTATAGTAATCAAGATCAATAGATTTATATGCCATGCCTTCTAAAAGGGAATGAAGGATGACATACTATCATCATTTAAACAGGACGTTGCTGAAGGCTTACCCCTGTTAATTCGTTTGTTTGTGTATCTTGTGTGTGTGCATTCCTGTTGTCATGTAAAAGTTTTCCTAGTCTCCTAATTTGGTTACTAGGTGGACCTTCTCCAACTAGTAATCTAATCTATTCGATCTGTTCAGAAGCAGGAGGTACTTTTCAAACATAGCAAATAATATTATTAATAATAAACACTATTTAAAGATAAATACATTTTTGTAATTGCCCCTTACCTTTCTCTTACACCACCAGGGTATACCTATTTTCCATATTCCCTTAATTATAGATTACCTTACAATGTTCGAATGAATATAACATTTTACTCATGAAAAATCTAATTTCATATTTAACTTTTTCAATTTCATTTAAAACAATAATTGGTACCTATATTACAATTTATTATCAAAGAAAATTTCTAATAAAGTTATAGCAAATCCTACTTAAACTACTGGTTGTTCTGCAGGATAAATTAACTTTTCTTGAGATTGATCTCTCTATAAAATCCAAAACCGACCTGATGTCCCCAAATTTATTTTCCAATGCATCCTAATTTAAAATTCTGCCCTTTTGTGATTCAATTTTTTTTCTTCCTTTAGAGTGGCTGTTAGAGGTAGGTGTATGTAAGAAATAGTTAATCTCTAATCATTTCAAAAGTCCTTTGCCAATACTACATGTGCAGATTTTTTACTCAGCATACATTTTACTTTTCTAGTAGATAGGAACTTTGTGCTGCCATTAAAGCTGTCCAGACATTCATCTACCTACTTAATGAACACAAGTAGCTGTAACAATGGATCTCTGTTCCAATTCACCTAAAATAATTATAGTCATTGTGTAATATATTATTAAACACACACATTATACAGTGGTTTTCTTAATAAATTGGAAATTACTTACCTCTAGAAAGAAATGTGTACAAAAACGCGAGTTTGGTTCCAGAAATTGCTTCATGCAAAAAATATTATGCAAAAATAAACATTCCCCCCCAAAGAAAATTAATTAAACAACAAATAAAATGCACATGTTCATAACAACATTCATAACATTGTCAGTTGTCATTTTTTATACTTTTAATCGATATTTCGACGTCAAAAAACCAGCAACACCAGCGCCCTCTGAAAATGGTGTTAGTTTTATTGGAGAGAGATAGACATATGTAAAGATCAATGTAAAAGAAAAAGAGGGTCATATATGTAATTTAAATGGACCACCGAACATATTTTCCTATTAAGTTACACGTCTCTGTTGTCTCTGCATATAGTCACAATATCGCTAAAATTTGTTTTGGTATTTTTATGAACTATTACCCACCAAAATATAAAAAATTTTCCCCACTTAACTAACTCTGTATATCATTTGATTTACGATATCTTAGGGTAAGCAAATTAAATCTGGTCCATCCTATATACAGATTCGTCTTAAATTTTTCTTCGGTATTGTAAATTAACAGGAGGAACAGCGACAGCTTTATAAAAACCGAGCCAACGCTATATCCCAATTTGTGATGAATTGATTAGTGTGGAGTCATTCATCCCAACACGCCCAAGATGTGAATTTGATTTTATCAAATTCAGTAATGTACAATACGCGTTGAGGTGTACACCAAATATATCAGTTGCAGGGATATTTTGTTATACTTTATTTGAAATGAAAGATATTTTATATTCTAAAATAATCTCCCTACTTATTTATTTGATTTCTTTTCTGCCATAACAGATATGAAAAATAAAACAATTCTGTTATGAAAAAACAAAAAACTACTATAAATTAAAAAAAAAAATAACTGAAAATAAACATTCTTATCAAATAAAAAAAAAAAAAGAATTACCACCAACTTGGGTTAAGGGCGATATCCATGGTTTGAAACTGGTTTGAAACTGGCTTAAAACGACTTCAAGGTTCTCTTTGTCAGTTTTAAAATTTTTTTTATAAAATTTGGTACACCTACAGTTCATCAAATTTCTAGAGGTGTTCGACGCCCAGACAGAGAACGCGCTACGTGTGACTAAGATAGCTATTGTACAGTCTGCTAAACAAGTTATTTTAAATAGTTTTTAATATTTTTAGGTAATTAAATTTTAAAAGTGTGGAATAGTTTAGGGATTAAATTGGTCTGATTGGACTTTCTTGGAACGTTTTTAAAAGCAGCTAAAGATAGTATGTAGAATTGAAAATAATTATTATGCCATAAAAGGTGTTTTGGAATTCCTTCAACCTTTTGAAATTGAGTCAGAAAATATAAATTTTATAGGATAGCGGAAAATACCTATAATTTTTTTGTAGGCCTTTGTAAATCGTGGAAAAAGTTTATATTTTATTTCTACCTTATTAAGGAAAATGGTACCTATTATTAATAACGGTTGTTTCTGAAACATTACTAAAATTTTCGAAATTTTGTTTTTCTACAAAATAATAAACTATACTATTTAGAAAAAAATTTATTTCTCTTATAATTTTATAAAAAATAACAGGGGAATATTTACATTTCTTGATCTATTAAACAAAACGATAAATTATCTCGACGAATGACACCATGTTCTAGTACGGAAGCTAGCTTTACATTTTTGTTGGTGGTTTCATGGGTTTCATATCAATTTTTTGTAATTGTAGTCTACACGTACATATACCTCTTAACACTTGTTTGCTTTATTAAAAAAGTGTGTTGTTGTGATGATTTACGTCGAAATAAGTCAAAAACAACTTGAAACCCCATATAAAATCAAACAGGAGAAATGGAAAAAAATTGAGCCTGTAAATGAACACAACTCAGAAACAAAAATAGCTATCTAATAATAAAAAAATAAAATTTGATTCTTGTGCAGCTTCATCTATATCATTAACTGTATTTGGTTTTTTAATGGTTTTTCTTGGTGATGAAAATTCCGATATCTCACGGTTATCGATTCTTTTTTTCTCTCCAGAAATGCGGACGACAGTGTTTTTAGATACTCCTGTGGCTGCAGCAACACGATCATTTACATTTTTAAATGGTATTGAAGGTGAATTAAAGTTTCCTTCTCTTCTCATAAACTCTATAACATTGGCTATTATTTCGCGAGATTGACTGTTAATCACGCGGCCTCTTAATTTGCTATTAAACTCCATACTTAGGTTCTATTAAACTGTAATGAGCAAAAAACACAAACGAAAATAAAAGAAATGTTTTAGCGAAATTTACATCTGACATTTACGTCTGAATGAAATAGTGAAATACTTGATGCGCACAGTGTACTTTCATTGCGTAAATCCGTCGGGATGCCTGTCAGTAGTGCTTTCTCTGTCTAGCCGTCGAAAGCCTCTAGAAATTTGATGAACTGTACTAAGCAAATGATAGAGAACCCCGCTGTAGAACCCGAATTCAGAAAAACTTATTTTTTAATTATTTCTATAAATCTGAGAAAATCTGTCAAGATTTAAATCCATATTAATTGATTTGGCAACAAGGCGGCGGACGTTGGCGGTGCATGCAGCACCGGAAAATTAGGATAAAAGTATTTAGGTAGTCATTTAAGTAGCTTAGGAT